ACAGTAGCTTGGAAGACATTATATCAGTGGTACTTAATATCATTTTTTTAGTTGTGTGATACTGCATTTATTTATATTTTCAAGGGAACATTTCAGTGCAGAGAGAAATATGACGATGGATGAGAAAAAGTGGGAACATCCGAAGGGATGGATTTAGGACTGACTGAGCATACAGAAAGCAGTGTAGACAAGCATGACCAGTTCTTCAATTGTAGGGTGAGGAAACTGAAGCTCTGGTTCAATCTGACCATTTCTATTTGTCAGTGCAGTGAGTAGCAAGTGGGGTGTCTAAGAGTGAGAAGGGTGGAGGAATTGCTTACATTTTGAGAAGGGAATGAAGGCTTAAATAATCATCTTGGAAAGCAGAAGAGTCATACTATATGGAATTACTAGAAATATAGAGCAGCCCTTGCAAATTGAACTTATAAATTATATTTAAAAAAATCAACAAACACGTTTTTTAGAATATTCATGAAGTATACATAGCACAATTCCAGGCAAAGAGTAAACACTCAAAATATTAATTCTAATTAATTATGGCAACAAAAATGACAGCAGCAACTACTATCACTAGTATTACAGACATCATTATTTATGTGAGTAAAACATGTCATACTTAAGGTTTTCAGTTGCCTATGATTTTCACCACATAATAGGTATCCAAAACTGTTTGTTTAAAGGAATTTTTCATTTGGACAATAAAGGTAGTATAAGCAGCATTATTAATACCATTGTGAAATGTCTTGTATAGTGTGATGTTATTTGGTATCATAAGGTGAAAATCATAAGGAGCTCTGGGGGTCGTAGTGCCTAAGGCATTTGACTGCTAACCATAAGGCTGGCAGTTTAAACCTACCAGCCACTCCTCGGAAAGAATGTCACCAATCTACTTCCATAGTGATACTGCCTAGGAAACCCAAGGAGCGGTCTACTCAATGGCAGTGAGTGAGTGTGTGAAGGTGAAAATTTAAGTTCAGGAATTAAACATTGATTCATTCTTCCAGGACCACCCTTATGCATAGAATATCACGTTTCTAATATGAGCTTTGTGATTGGTTCTATGGAAAGAAGGTGTGTTTCTATTTCCTCCTTGTTCTGAGCCCAAAGTTGGACTCACTGAGTGAGCTATACTATGCCATTCGGTTAAAATTACTGTTATTTAAATGCTTCATCTCTTATCACTATGTATGCTCAATAAGTGATTTTTCAGTTCTTGAACTAATTGATCTTTTAAACCTATTATATTTATTTCATTTTTAATTATTTCCACTTTGATTCTCTAACATCAGAATCAATTTAGAGTGGTGTAAAAACCATTTTCTTTGAGTTAAATTTGTTGGAGTATGATTCTTGCTGTTTCCATGTTACGTAGCCTTGAATGTGTTACTAATCCCTTTGTCCAGTCCTGTTCTATTTTGATAAGAGTTAATCAAAAGTCAGGAAAAAGAAGAGACTTCTTAGAATTGTGATTTCATGAGTCTGTAAATGTTTGTTTCTATTACTCCTTGAAGGCAAGGGAGTGCATTTGGCTGCAATTCATTTTTTGAATCTCCTAGCATGGCTCTCCCAGGATATTCTCTTGAACTAATGAATACTTCAGGAACTACACTTATAGACATTTGTAGTTGCAAGCCTTTTAGGGTTGCTTCTCTGTCTCCTCAGGAAAGAAAAAAACTATTAAAATAAAAGCAAAAGCAAACACCTCAGATTCTGTTTATAGAATAGAGTTGATAGGAGATTTGGTGATACAGTTGTTAAGCATTCAACTGCTAAACAAAATGTTGGCAGTTCAAACTCACCTGAAGTTCTGAGGGAGAAAGAAGACTACTTCCACGAAGATTTACAGTCTTGGAAACCCTGTGGTGCAGTTCTACTCGGTCCAATAATCTATGAGTCAATATTGACTTTATGACAGTGAGGGTTTTTTTTTTTTTTTT